TTTTTTTAAACACACTTTATGGATAAAGGTGCATGAAAAGGATTTTAGCTCTCTGACATAATAGAAAAAGATAAAATCATGTTATAATGAACAATTCAGCCAGTTTTTTCACTAAATACACATGTCCTCAATATCACCAAATATGGCTTAATTTAGTATCTCTCAGAGGTCAAAGATGCCATTTTGTAGTAGAAATGTAACTTCTAATTACACAGCATTAACATGATGAACTATTTTAAAACTTTACTAACAGGTTACAACAGGCCATGAACTCTATCTGAGGCCAAATCTTAGGAGGTTCTCAAAAGGCCTTTTATAGATCATTTAGAAAGATTAAAGAAACCAGCCTACCCATGACAGTCCCTGCCCAATCGAAGGTCCCATTAAACATTAAAGAGACCCTTATTTTCTGCTTTCCAACTACGGATTTCTATCTCTCCACAAATTGTATCATCGGAAATTTAACTTTTAAAACTTGCTTTCATATTTATCATCTCATTTTATCTGTGAATGCTATTAGAGGCATATATAAAACAGAAATAACAGCTCCATTGTTCCTTTGACTATGGTTCACAGTCAAGATCTTACCTCTTTCTCTAAAATGTCAAGTGTACAACAGTAAATGACTAGGAGCAGAGGATGGAAGAGCCACAGCTGGGGAGGGGACAGGGGTTGAGAGAGAAGGATCTGGGGAAGAATGAAGAGCAACAGGAATAAGAACCACCACATTTTGGGGTTCAACTTTCAGAAAGCATTAGGAATTCATTTCTGAATTCCTAAACGGCATAGGAAAGAATATCTAAATATGTGAGATTATTTTAATACAATGTCTCCACATCTGGGAAAGAAGGGCATACCATACTCTTTACACGTGTAACCAACATCTGGGAATCCTATTGTTCAACTGCGGTCAGGAGGATCTCTTCTTCGAAATAAGCTGCTCTGATATTTGGGACTGTGTTGAAATGTCAAATCATCATTCCTGCTCATGTTTTTTAACTCAGTGTATACAGATCAATGATCTTTCACAAAAATGTTGCTGTTCGCAAGTCCTAAAAATGAAATCTAAACTTGAGTGATAAGGATTATGTATCTATACGACATGCAGATAAAATGTACTACTAATGGGGGTAATTAAGCTGAGAGGAGATTCAATAAAGCAGAGTGTACAAAGTCAGAAATCACGCTACTGTAGAAATTAAAAGTGACTTCAATTAGACGAGCTTCTTTTTCCCCAGAAATTATTTTTGCTTGGAAAGAGCCAGCTAAGGTTGGGTGCAGTGGCTCACACCTGTAAGTCCACCATTTTGGGAGGCTGAGGCAAAGGGGTCTCTTGAGGCTGGCAGTTTGAGACCAGCCTGGACAACATATTGAGATCCTGTCTCTACAAAAATTAGAAAAAAAAAAAAAAAAGCAACTTAGTAAGGTGTGGTGGTGTGCACCTGTAGTCCTAGATACATGGGAGGCTGAGGCAGGAGGATTGCATGAGCCCAGGAGGTCAAGGTTGCAGTGAGCCATGATCATGCCACTGCACTCCAGCCTGGGTGATAGAGTGAGACCCTTATTCAAAATAGATAAATAAAGAGACAACTAAAAAAACAGTCTGTCTTTTAGTCAGGGTAAAAGTTTTATAGGCTGTCAACAAGCAGCCTTTTTCTTAATTTAAAATTCTGCATTTGAAAAATGGAGAACATTAGATAACTCATTACAACATTATACAAATAGGTTAGAACTAGATCAAGGAAAACAGATTTTAAAGGAATTGATATTTTGTGTTTTAAAAGAATACCCATATGACAGTCTTTTATTGGGTAGAGTTACTGCAGGCTTGACAATAACTGTTTACTTTCCATTAAGAAAAGAACTCGATAAAAGTGGTCTAGCCACTCTGATAAAGTTGTGATCTGGAGAAACAGCTGTGGTCTCATAGTCAAAATAGATGAAGAGGCTTCAACCAACTAATCTCTGATATGAAACAATTGAAAGTTTTCTAGGAGAACAAGGGTAAATGATGTAAAGCATTCTAGTGACTTCTGGAACAGGGGAGCATCTATCTCTTCCCGCATGGATCCCTCCCTCTTCATTTGGGACTCTTCCTCCCTAGGCACCCTTCTTTCCAATACCCACCCCCTTCTGCGCCTCTCCTTCCCCTAATTTCCACCTCAGATTTCCAGTGGGTTCATTAGAAATAATCAAAAAAATAATGGTAAAATCACCCATTAAGGTTTTTTTTTTCTGTTTTTTTCCTCTAATTAAATTTCTGCTCTAGTGAATTGGCTAATCTGATTTTTTTTTTTTCTTTTTTTAAGATGGAGTCTTGTTCTGTCATCCAGGCTGGAGTGCAGCGGTGTGATCTTGGCTCACTGCAGCCTCCGCCTCCCAGGTTCAAGCAATTCTACTGTCTCAGCCTCCCAAGTAGCTGGGATTACAGGCATGCACCACCACGCCTGGCCAATTTTTGTATTTTTAGTACAGATGGGCTTTCACCATGTTGCCCAGGCTGGTCTTGAACTCCTGACCTCAGGTGATCTGCCCACCTCGGCCTCCCAAAGTGCTGGGATTACAGGCGTGAGCCACCGCATCCAGCCTAATCTGATTATTTTTGTGAAAGACTTTAGGTAAAACAGTATACACGGTGATCCCTCTCAGCTAGCAAACTTAGGAGAGGGCTGGCAATAGTGATGAGTGTAGTTTCCATTTACTAATTGATTACTATGTGCCAGGCACAGCTGCAGAGCTTTTTATACTTTATCTTACCCAATTCTCATAATAACCCTATGAGGCAGGTCCTGCTTATTAGTCCCATTTGACAGTTGATGAAACATGGCACAAACTTATAGCCTAAGACAGGGGTGAGCAAACTGTGGCCCTTGGGTCAAACGAGACTCTAAAGAGGTACTGGCATGTTCAGGCCCCGTTCTTCACGGTGTATGTGGCTGCTTTTGAGTTTCAACGGCAGAGTTCATCAGTTGTGACCAAGACCTTAGGGTCCATAAGGCCGAAACTATTTACTATCTGGCCCTGCTTAGAAAAAGCTCACCAACCCCTAGTGTAAAACACAGTTGATTCATGAATAAAGAAAAAAGGCAAGAACATTTGGACAGCTTCACATAGAACTTACATTGAAATTTTCTTAGAAAAAATAAATTCTGTCTTTATCTGTTTTCTTTCATTCATCTGTTACCTGTTTCTTCTCACCTAAGGTTTATCAGCTAGCCTCAGGAAAAAATAAAAGTGTTAATGGAATACCAGTTCAGTAATTAAAGGTTTCTCTCCATAAGGTGAGTTTTGATTAGGCAGAAAAGTTTCCAAGAAGGAAAGGAAAAAAAGCATAGACCAAAGAAACCTTGAATAACCATATGTTTCCTGAGAGGCTGTAAAATTTTTGGCTGTTTTACAGGTATTTCTTCTCAAGTACAAATGACATCATTGTTGAAAATTTTTAAAAACAGGCCTACTTTATTCTACATTTGGTACCACATATTGTTTCAGTTGACCATCAATTGACTTTTCTATTTTTACTGGGAAGGTACGTCATAACTATTTTTAGTAGACAGAGTCTGGTAGTATCATTTGTGGATCACACATAGTCATGCTTTAGAATTCTTTTTCTAAAGCTATGAGAATGTATTTGGGGGAAGAACATGCTCACTGGCAATATTCTACTGTACTGTGAAACATACTCTAGAGTCAATGTCTAAAACAGGAAACAGCTACTAACAAATGAAAGAACCTGCTGTATTAGTAGGCAGCAAAGCAAGTGTAGCTTTATAACATATAAATCTGCCCTTGAGGCCGGGCACGGTGGCTCACACCTGTAATCCCAGCACTTTGGGAGGCTGAGGCGGGTGGATCACCTGAGGTCGGGAGTTCAAGACCAGCTGGACCAACATGGTGAAACCCCATCTCTACTAAAAATAAAAAATTAGCTGGGTGTGGTGGCGCATGCCTGTAATCTCAGCTACTCGGGAGGCTGAGGCAGGAGAATCGCTTGAACCCGGGAGGTGGAGGTTGCAGCGAGCCGAGATCATGCCATTGCACTTCAGCCTGGGAAACAAGAGTGTAACTCTATCTCAAAAAACAAAACAAAACAAAACAAAACAAAAACCTGTCCTTGAGATAGTAATATTTTTAAATATAATTGGGAGTGAGTTAACATCTGAGCTTCTCTGATAATTCGTGCTTTATCCTTTAAAACAACCCAGAAAATCAAAATCAAATAATTGAATTTCCAGAGGATGTGACCTGGCACATAAGCTGAGCTCAATTCACATGAAATAATTTGTGCAAGTCATTTATAATTATAATAATAATATATGCAAAATAATGTATATAGGATTACTCACTGTAAACAGTGAACAGAAAGGAGACACTTGAGACAAGACAAAGCCCATGATTTTTCTCTACCTTTCAACCCTTTCCCCAAACACCAACCAATACAGGAGTAGCACAGAGCAGCGGCTGCAAACCTATCTGCACATTAAAATCACCTGTGCATCTTCCACAATTCCACCACCCAAGCCCCACCCAGGCCAATGAAATCACAGTTGCTGAGTGTGAGATTCACGTCTCAGTAGTTTTGGAAGCTCCCAGACACCAGTAGAGAGTGGTGATTAAGGTACGGACAGCTGAGAGGTTCAGTCATACACCTGCCACTTATGCTGCAGGAGCCCTGAGTCGTCCTCCATCCTCACCTGCCCCACTGCGTGTGAGTCACTCTGACATCTTGGGTAGGATTCATTAACACAGCATCCTGCTATGGGCACTGTATCATCATTCTTGCTCCTCACTCATAACTAATGTGTTAATGCAAATATTAAGAGGATGTTAACACAGTGAGTTACGGCCTTAGGGTTTCTCTTAAAAGTTACTCTCTCTTTAAACATTCACATCCCTTCCGCCTCTTAGAAGACATCCCCTACACCTGGCTTGGCTTTGCCGTCTCTTTTGCAAGCATATTTCTCCTGCATGTCGAACATTAAAAGTGAAGTCGGCCTTACCTCTACGATGCTTTTTAAATCTTGCACATAAGTCCTTTCGGTCTCCAGAATTTCCTGAACAACTCTATCCACATAGAGGAGCTTGGGGCTGGTGGCCGAGTCTGTGGTCGTCTTGGGTGTCCCATTCGAGTCCACTCTCCACTGCGCCCTGGGCGGCCTTTCGCTGCCTTCGTCTGCGTTCTGTTGCCCGGTGGCGGGGTGGTCCCTCTGCAGCTCACTGCTGGAAAACGGCCTGGCCGGAACCAGCTCCAGTTTTATGGCCCCTACCTCCTTATCCTGGTTAAACAAGCCCAAGTGGCTATTTGAAACTAAGGTCATTCTGCTGCCGAAGGAACCATGGCTGTCGCGAGAAGAGGCCGAGGACGACGTGGAACCGAAGCTGACGGGTCGGTCACTATCAGAGAGCTCCATTGTCTTCAGTTCTTGAGGGCAGGAACGCCTGGCTGTGGTCTTGGGATCTGGAACTTTGGTTACAGCTGATGGCACTTCAAGACGCAACTGGTGCCCATCTATATGCGTTAAAGAAAATAAATACAAAGGACAAGATAAGCAATTCTATCAAGCAGAGGGTTGAAAGGAAGTAAAAACCTAGCTCAAATAAATACAGTCAATAACAAGGTGTCCAGTTATAGAAGGGAATGCAAAGGTACCTGTTGGTGGAGCAAGATGCAAAATCAGTGTTCCCGAAGCATCATCTGGGTGCCTGTTAGAAATGCAGAGTCTCAGGCTCTGACCTCGACCTGCTGAACTTGAATCTGCACTTTAATAAGATCCCAGAATGACTTATAAGCATTAAAGTTTGAGAAACACTAGACCTGTTGTCTCAAAAGTGTGGCCACCTGGAATGAATCTTATGCAAATTAGTCTAGATTCACTAAATTAAAGACTCAGCGGTCAGGGCACCAGGAATCGATCACTTTAACAAGCACCACAAGTGGTTCTTATGAACTTAAAAGGGACCCGACGTGACTCCTATGGAATTTTGAAACACCTTGTTCTAGATTTTAAGTACTTCACCATAATTCCACAAAATTTTAGGCTAGCATCCTGGAGCCACCACTAGTTGATTTAAATAATGCTGACAACTTTACATTTTACTTGCATACAGCATTAAAGGAAGTGTCACATAGACAATAATTTTCTAGTACTAGGCAAGAAAAAGATATAGTCATACACAGCATAATGATGTTTTGGTCAACAATGAACTAACTGCAGGCTGGGCGCGGTGGCTCACGCCTGTAAATCCCAGCACTTTGGGAGGCTGGGAGGGGGGGAAATCACTTGAGGCCGGGAGTTTGAGACCAGCCTGGCCAGCATGCCAAAACCCTGTCGCTACTAAAAAATACAAAAATTAGCTAATCGGGAAGCTGAGGCACGAGAATTGCTTGAACCTGGGAGGCAAATGTTGCAGTGAGCCGAGATCCTGCCACTGAACTCCATGAGCCTGGGCGACAGAGCGAGACTCTGTCTCAAAACAAAACAACAAACTGAATATATGGCAGTGGTCAGAGCAAACTGCGGTACCATCCAGCCTAGATGTGTCAAGGGCTATGCCATATAGGTTTGTGAGAGTATGCTCTGTGATGTTCGTGCAATGATGAAGTTGCCTGACAACGCGTCTCAGAATCTACCCCTATGCTGAAGTGATGTATGACTGTATTTAAGACTCACACCCCACTGAAAACTTATCCTCTTACCACAGCACTTCTCTAGATCGCTTCTTAAAAACTGGCATTCTATTTGTGGCACATATGGAGTTATGATACTACTAGAGAGTATGTTGGATTAACTACAACACTCCACAAGTACAGTTATAAAATCATGTAATTATATGACAAATCTAGGAACTAAATTATGAGAACAATTATGAGAAAATGGTGCCGTCTTGTTTAGAAAAGGGCAAAAAGAAAAACTGTCTGCAAAGTCAAAAGGTCACGTAATGGTGAAACCCCGTCTCTACTAAAAAAAATACAAAGAGATTAGCCAGGTCTGGTGGCGGGCGCCTGTAGTCCCAGCTACTAGGGAGGCTGAGGCAGGAGAATGGTGAGAACCCGGGAGGCGAAGCTTGCAGTGAGCCGAGATCACACCACTGCACTCCAGCCTGGGCGACAGAGCAAGACTCCGTCTCAGAAAAGAAAAAAAAAGTCACTTAATACCCACAGCATTTAAATATGATGTTAGGCCCCAAAAGGACCTACGTGAAAATTAAATATTCAGAAGCTATTTGGGTAAAACACTCAAAATTCCAATCTTCCTCATTTCTAAGGCAGGGTCAACATTTCTCCCTCAAATAATGAGATTCCATGTCTCATTATTTCATAGAGAAATTTTGTTTATAGAGACAAAATGTCTTGTGATATAGGATGTGATTAATAAAGAAATTTGCTTCATTTTGCTAGGTTACCTTACCACAAAAACATGCTTATAGGTTTTACTAGAAAAATGGAAGAGGGAAACTTATGTTTGGAAGGTTACAATATGACAAACACAGTAAAAAGAATACATAGTAATGATCATTTTTCAATAGTAATGGAAATTTGGTTTGATTCTATAATAAAGATCACTAAACAGTTGGTACTAATATTTTTAGAGTATAAAATATCCATCAAGTCTCTCCTTCAATGTACTGTTTCTAGATAGTTTATATTCATGACAAGTATTAGTACAAACTTACCATGCAAATATTAAAGTTATGAATAAAAAATGAAGGAACTAATTCCGAGTCAAGAAGGAGTGGTAAGACATGTAGGAAATGAGCAGTTTATCTGCGAAACCACTACCACATGCTAGAGTTTGCCACAAATTTTTAATGCTTTTGCAATATTCTTTCTGCTTGTTCTATAACAACTTTACGGCCTATAAAACATGAATTGGTTATAGTAGTTACAATGCACTTGACCTAGAAAGCCTGATCCAACTTGAGTGTGGCAAAAATCCAAGCAGCAGCCATGCATTTAGGTATGCGTGCAGCAAAGGACGCTTGCTCACATTTGGGACTGGTGTTGAGAAAGTCATGGGCAGTCCAAAGTAGAGGCAGACACAACAATGTTTTCTTTCTATTCGCATCCACTATAACCAGGACCATCAGGCTGATCTCACTGTAGGAAATGGGCACTCACTTGGGAAGTATCTGAGGATACTTTGGCATACCAAGGGTCTAATGAGGCTATGATTTGGGACTAAACATAAGTTGGATATATTCTTTTTTTTTTTTGAGATGGAGTTTTGTGCTTGTCACCCAGGCTGGAGTGCAATGGCATGATCTCAGCTCACTGCAACCTCTGCCTCCCAGGTTCAAGCAATTCTCCTGCCTCAGCCTCCCTAGTAGCTGGGATTACAGGCATGTGCCACCACGCCCAGCTAATTTTTATATTTTTAGAAGAGACGGGGTTTCACCATGTTGGCCAGGCTGGTCTCAGACTCCTGACTGCAGATGATCCACCTGCCTTGGCCTCCCAAAGTGCTGGGATTACAGGTGTGAGCCACCACGCCCGGCCAAGTTGGATATACTCTATGACAGGGGTGCGGTACCTGTCCATGGCCTGTCAGAAACCAAGCAGCACAGCAGGAAGTGAGCAGTGGGCAAATGAGCATTGCTGCCTGAGCTCCTGTCAGATCAGCAGAAGCATTAGATTCTCATAGGAGTGTGAGCCCTATTGTGACCTATGCATGCCAGGGATCTAGGTTGCACGCTCCTTATGAGAATCTAATTCCTGATGATCTGAGGTGGAGCAGTTTCATCCTGAAAGCATCCCCACTCCCCTACCCCCACCAACTCAACCCACCCTTCATCCCTCGAAAAACTGTCTTCCATGAAACCAGTCCCTGGTGTCAAAAAAGTTGAAAGGCCAAGGCATCTGGAAAGGTCTACCCCCCATAGATCTGTACACACTGTCTCCAGGGCAAGTTCTGATTTTCTAACCAGAGACGAATCAATCTCTCCAGAATAGAAAACTGTCTTTCACACAGTTACAAAACTCTTGGCACTATATTCATGATCAGGACTAGTGAAAAATGGACACAACAGAGAGACACATTATTTTCTTATCATCATTTCTTTTCTCTACTTACTTTCACTTTAAATTAGATACCCAATATTGGGACAGAAGGATTAAAGAGGAATAAAAGCTGCTTTTAGAGGACCCTAGGTTGGGCTGCTAGAAATGACAATGTCTTTAGAAATACTTTCAAAGGTGGGAAAGAGTGGAATGTAAAACGCAGATCAATAGGGACCCCTTCATGGATAGATCTTAAATAGCAGCATAGATTGGGCACCGCTGCGGGGACAGCTTCAAATGTTCCAATGCCAGTCCACATACAGGCCTGGCTGCCAACCAGGCACTTTCTAAAATAGACCATTTCAGAAGTTTGGTGTCCATAGTATCTAGCCAAGCTTACCACCCCAAACTAAAGACCTTCCAAAATTACCAATGACAGAAGTGAAACATTTAAAGTCAGGTCATATAATGGCATGTAATATGAGACCGCACTTGCTAATGGCTAACATTTTTTATGTTGATTCATTGCTTAGAAGATAATTATAGTTTCCTCACGTAGGAAAATGCACCTCTTAAAAACTGTCTAGTCTTGTTCTCACTTTCCTCAAAATAATTTAAGATTTCCACCCTGTCTGGCCTATTCTAATGCAACTCACCAATTATTAATATTTATCTCTAGAGCTGTGTTGCTCCACACAGTAGCCAGCAGCCACATGTGGCTACTGAGAACTTGAAACGCAGCCAGGCTGGGCACAGTGGCTCATGCCTGTAATTCCAGCACTTTGGGAAGCCGAAGCAGGCAGATCACTTGAGCTCAGGAGTTCGAGACTAGCCTGGGCAACCTACTAAAACCCCATCTCAAATACAAAAAATACAAAAAATTAGCCGGGTGTGGTGGCATGTGCCTTAGACCCAGCTACTTGGAGTCAAGGCTGCAGTAAGCCATGATCGTGCAACTGCACTCCAGCCTGGGTGGCAAAGTGAGACCTTGACTCAAAATAAATAAATAAATAAACAAACACAGTCAGTCTGAATTGAGATGTAAGATACACACCAGATTTCAGTAACTTAGTATGAAACTAAAAACATGAAATAAAATACCTCATTAATAATTTTTATATTTGTGTATTGAAACAGTAATTTGGATTAGGTTAAATAAAACATCTCATTGAAATTATTTTCACTGGTTTCATTTTACTTTTTTTTTCTTTTTTGACATAGAGTTTTGCACTTGTTGCCCAGGCTGGAGTACAGTGGTGCGATCTTGGCTCAATGCGACCTCTGCCTCCTGGGTTCAAGCAATTCTCCTGCTTCAGCCTCCTGAGTAGTTGGGATTACAGAAGCCCGCCACCATGCCTGGCTAATTCTAGTACTTTTAGTAGAGACGGGGTTTCACCATGTTGGCCAGGCTGGTCTCGAACTCCTGACCTCGTGATCTACCCTCTTCGGCCCCCCAAAGTGCTGGGATTACAGGTGTGAGCCACTGCGCCCGGCCTACTTTCTTATTTTAA